TTTAGCTCTCTAGAAGCTCTCACACACTCACGGTATTCCTCTTATTGAGAACGCCTGTGAGCATTGAGATGAGAGTCCTGGTTCTGCCAGTGAGTTGCTATATGATCCTGGGCTCCATCCAGCCCCATTCTTCATGGGACATGCCCTCTGTCTGAACTGCTTTTCATCAGGGACATTTTTTCCTTAGTTACCAGGAGTCAGCTCTTCTCAGGAACAAAATGAGCATGGAAACCAAATTCTCCTGAAAGGTGTGTATTTGAGGCAGGACAGGATTCATTAGGATCTTAGGCTGTCCAAGGGGTACTTAAAAGCTCTACTAGAGGGTCCCTTGGCCAGGACAGACTCAGAGATGGGGGCTCCTTCCTGCTGGCTGCTGTGTCCCAAGAAGAGAGCATTCTTTTTCTTCTAAACTCCCAACTACTCCCAGATTTGGGGCTGGAGCTGAGGGAACAGAGGCCAAGTTTATTCTATACTTGGGCAATGACTACTGCTTCGGGAGGGTATAGAGACCAGAACCCAAGATCTCCAAAGTGCCTCAGCTAGGAGTCAGGAGCCTGGGTTCCTGCCCTGGCTCTAACTGGCACCCCAGCTTTCAAGATGCTTTCAGGTATACCCTCATTGAATACCATGTCACAGTTCACCCATAAGGCTGGGGACATGAGGTGAGACGCACTGTAGGGTTCTGGAGCTAGATTCCAAGACTCGGAAAGGACACCCCAGGGAGGAGATGAAGTGAGATGAAGTGCTCCACCCCCGCCTTCCCCCCTTGCAGCCCAGCCCTCTCCTCTGGGCAGCCAGAGCCTCAAAGTAGCACTGTATCACTGCTTGGGGCTCTTGGTCAGAAACCTGACTCCTGGAAGTTACTCTGGGATCTCTGATCTCGACAACATAACACATTTTTTTCATTTCTCTAAATGTCTCCCTCTTTGCCTAGGGCATATGAATCACCTGAGGGTCTTGCTGAAATGCAGGTCCTGGTCCAAAGATCTGGGGTAGGGCCTGAGATTCTGCATTTGTAGTGAGCTCCCAGGGGATGTCCATGCAGCTGGTCTATGGCCACACTTGCAGTTGCAAGGCTTCAGTCTCTTTTGTAAGACAACAAAAATAGGGGAGAAAAAAAAGATGGGGAGCGCATCCTGGCCCTTGCATCTGGGATTCAAGTGACCCAGAAGTGACCCAAGTGACCCAGAACAGAGAAGACCAAGAATGTGAGAGTAAAAGGGACCTGCCACCTAGTTTTGTAGATAGTAAAAATGAGGCCTACTCAGTGCAGGAAGGAACTTGTTCAAGATCTCACAGCCTTTCAGTGCAAAGGTTGATACGTAGGCCTCCTGCATAGGAAAAATAAAAAGGAAAACTGGAAGATACTCATTGAGGTGTTTTCTGTGCTTTCTCTGGGCAAACCATGGATTCTTTTGATTTCTTTCTTTCTAACTTGGTTTTGTTTTTTGGTTTTTTCTTTTACAATGAAGATGTACCAATTTTTGTAAAAAGAAAAACATTTAATAAAAAGAAAATTCTCACAAAGTTCTTAGTAAATGAGATTATGTTTATGAACTGTGCTGGGTAAACTGTAACAATACATCAGCTTCATGTCATGGGTGTGTAATTCAGCTTAAACTATCCTGAATTTATTTCAACGACGGTACTCTTATTCCTCTGGGCATACGAATCATGGAGATGGGGGAGAAGGCCAAAGCCAGTTACCATCCACAACCACCGCTAGCAGCTTCCTGCTCCCCCTTCGCCTCTGTGTCCAGACACTTCCCCCAAACGCTGGCCGCGGGAATCTTTCCCCTTAAATTGGGGGAAAAGTTTCCCTAATCCGTTTTCGTAGTAAACGACCTGAGGCCAAGTCTGCTTTTGTTGCTGGTTTCCTAAGCTTAATTGCAAAGTTAATTTGAAAGAAAATAAATGTTACAGCTCTGGGTCGAATTCTAATGAGCCTTGGGCAATTAGGGAAGAACGCATCTAATTACCCACAGCCCGGGGCGCCTGCACACGACGCTGGGGGTGCAGGGCCCAGAGAATGGCAAACGATTTTTCTAATTTCATAATAGGAAGAAGAAAAAAATAAAGAGAAACGCACCTCCCGTTTCTGAGCCCCCAGATGGGGGAACAGGGAGGTTCTATTCCACGGTTTGGGGATTCTTAAGAGTTGGAATGTTCCAAAACGCTGCAGTGAAACGTTCTCAAGATCGAGTCCCGCGGACTGCACGTCTGCCCGCGACCCTGGCTGCGCAGCATCCGTTCCAGGCAGGCCGGGTGACGCTCGAGCTTCGGGGGTCCAAGGCCCACGAGAGGCCGAGAAGCGCTGATGCTCTGTCTTCAACCCCTTGATCCCAACCAACCCTCGCGCGTCTCCCAGTCTCTCCCGGCTGGCTCCCGCTGCACACACGCAGTTCCCTGCTCCCGGTGTCCTCCCTCTCCGGGCACAGACCCTCTTCTCGGGCATTATCTCACCTGATGTCCTAGTTGACAAAGGGCGGAAGGGAAGGGGGGAGAAGAGGGATTCACTTTCCCACCCCCATCTTTCTCGCTCCCGGAGCTATACCGCGACGCTCCAGGAGGCTTCGGGATATGGCGGCGCTTTAAAAATTAAAGCCTCTCCCCCCTCCTGTGCCCAGCACTTTATAATTCACAAAGCGCTTTTCATCTCTCTTGTCTTCTTTAACTTAAGGAGGACTCTCTCAGGTGGGGGTCACACATTCCCATTCACAAATTGGACAGTGGAGAAAAAGGGACTTAAGGTTAAATGGCCAAAGCACTGGTCTTGGTAACTAAAAAACAAAGGGTCAACTCCTGCACTAACTGGGCATATAGACCACCCTTCCCCAGCCCAAATACCACAGCTGGGCTCTTGCCAGCCAAGGACAAAACTCCTGGGTGGAGGGCTCTCAATATTCCAGCTACTGCCAACTAGGCAAAGCATCTTGACTTATGGGCTGGGAGAGCCAGACTGTCGAGCTGCGCATGGAGAACCTTTGAATTTCATACCCGCGAGGGTCCATATGGAGATGAGAGAGGTCCAACACCTAGACTTTTGCAAGGTTCAGGCTGGAACCTGGATCAACTGGCAGCAAGGTCAGCGCTCCAGCTGCCTCCTGCCTCCAAATGGTCATTTACCATCACTGAAGTCAGGAAGGACCAGCATCTAGACCTGTAGAGTCCAATACAGTAGCCATCAGCCACAAACTGCTAATGAGCACTTGGCATGTGGCTAGTCCAAATTTAGATGAGCTCCAAGGGTAAATGCACTCCAGATTTGGGAGATTTAGTATAAAAAAAGTAAAATATCTCTACAATTTATATACTGATTATATGTTCAAATGATAGTTTGGATATATCGGGTTAAATACAATATATTAGTTAATCTCAACTGTTTTTTTATTTTATTAATATGGCTACTAGAAAATTTTATTACACATGTAGTTTGCATTACGTTTCTATTGGACAGTACTGATTTAGACAAATACCCGTCTGGACGGAATCACATTCACATGTCTTTGTGAACAAGATAGAGCAATTCCCAAAATTAAAAATAAAAATTACGAATAGTTTTCAGTCTTCTTTCTCACACAACCCCCACCCCTTCCCTAGCAAGTTAACTACACAGAAAGGGGCTGAGTTTCTCTTGCCAGAACTCACATGATCAAAGATTTTTATTAAAACAGTTCGTCGGAACCTCGGGTTTATCTGAAAGCTGCACACTGCGCCTCTGGAGTATTTAACACTGGAAATGTTCACTCCAGAATAAAAACTTAACAAGATCTCTCAAGAGAACAGTGGGAAAGTGGTTGGATTTTCTCTGATTTTGGTCAGCTTTATGCTTACAAACGGATACAAAACAAAGTGAAAAATCCAGTTTCTTTCTAAAGCTTCACTGACAGCCCCAATTATTTTTTCTCTTTCCTTTTCACATGGCAGAGGGTGCCAGGGGTGGAAGAGCTAGCTCCACCAACTAAAAGCTGTCACCAAAGGGCTCCCCTGAGTTCTGTGGTCTCTTTGAATTTTAGTTTGCCAATTTGGTCCAGGGTTGCTTAATGAAAAGAAACAGTGACCAGTGGACAAATTTATTTTTACCTGCCTCATTGGAAAACCAAATTTATGACCTAGCAGTAACAGCTACCAAATGATCAGCACATCATGCTCAAAAGATTCAAGAAATTATAATATAATTGCTGCCTGGAACCAATCCAGAGACTTTAGGTTAGGCGCTTGCCATGAGCTCTGTTCTTGGGAATAGGGTTAGGCCCTGGGTGGCCCACCAATCCTGCCAAATTTGCAGGGCGGCATCTAGGACGATGGGGCCCTTAAAGATCACACGGGAGTTGAATCCTGCAGCCCTCTTGTCTAACACATGGGGAAACTGGTGGTGTGGGCGATGAGACTAGATCACACTATGGAGCTGAGGCACTCACGGTCCAGACTAAGAGCCAGGTCTGCAGTTCTCAGAGGCAGGGAAAACCAGCCCCAGGTAAAACGGAGCAGAAAGATTTCCCTCGTTATGTTTTGGGTGTTTGTTAAAGGAGGGAGGCTACTTCTTTTGCAAACGCATTCTCCACACCTTAAGGAAGGTGCTATTGGAGCCGTTTGTTGTAGCGACCTAATAAAAGGCACAAGAGGCAGAACCGTGTAAAAAGGCCCGAGTTTCTTCCAATACAGGGAAGAGTGAAGGCGTGATTCCCCACAATATGGATCCTAAACTCTGTGGGCACTGCGCTGCGCCCCCATTATCGCCAAGGACCCGCCCCATGGAATGTCAGAAAGGCATGTCCTTTGGAGCTTCGCCTTATTGAGGATCCTTTGTCCCAGTCCGTGGGCCACCGCAGCCCCTCCCCACCTCCTCCCATTTCCAAAGCGAACCGGGTGTGTATGTGGTGCACCGGTCCCTTCCACATGGCTCTCAATCCTCTCTCCAGTTCTGTTCTCAGGTCTCGGGGATACTCAGTTCGTGTGGACAGCCGAGGTATCTAGGAATTTTCGACTGTATGCTGGGCTCACATGGCGGACACATATCGATCCACACCGCCAGGATAGGGAGTCGCATGGCGAGCATGGTAGGCGCCTCCACTGCCCCCTCCGAGCTGCCCACCAGGATTATAGCAGGGCCCCAGAGCTCCGAACTGGCCGGGCGATGTGCGCCCATAGAAGTCCACTGCGGCTTCGACGCCCCCACTGCTGCCACCCGCGGAGGGCGAGGCGGGCCCCGCCAACCGGCCAGCCGCCGCAAAGAGGGCACTGCCCGCCCCTTGCGGGTACGCGCCATCCGGGCCCGCGTAGGCGGCCGCATAGGCGGAGGGGTTGGCAGGTCGGGCTCCAGCGCAGCCGGCAGGCTGGTAGCTGGTGGAGGCGGCGGAAGCGCCGGCCGAGGCAAAGGCGCAGGAACCCGCGGGCCCCGACGGCGCGGGGCCCAGTTCAGGACTGAGCGGCCTCTCAGGCACCAGGCCGAAGACCCGGCACGGTCCTGGCGACGCAGCTGGGTAGTAGACCGGGGGCGGCGCGGCGAGCGACGGCGGGGCATAGCCTGCGTAGACGGCGCCCGGGTAAGGCGGGCGGGCAGCGGGCACCGCGCCCGGGAAGATGGCGGCGGCGGCCGCGGCCGCGGCGGCGGCGGCGGCGGCGGCCGCGTCGTGCATGTAGGCTGGGTAAGTGGAGAGGTCTGAGCGCTTGAAGCGCTTGCGGCGGCGCAAGAAGCTGCCGCTCTCGAACATGTCCTCGGCGTTGGGGTCGAGCGCCCAGTAGTTGCCCTTGCCTGGGCGGCCGGCCTCGCGCGGGATCTTGAGGAAGCAGTCGTTTAGCGTCAGATTGTGGCGGATGCTGTTCTGCCACTTTTTGGGGTTGTCGCGGTAGAAGGGGAAACGCTCCGTAATGAACTTGTAGATGCCGCCCAGCGTGAGGCGGCGCTCCGGCGCGTGCGCGATGGCCATGGCAATGAGCGCAATATAGCTGTAGGGTGGCTTTCCGCGCTGCAGGGGGCGCTTCCGCCGACGCCCGCCCGCGCCGCGCCCCGCGGCCTCCGCCGGGACCCCGGGCCCAGCCTCACCGCGCTCCTCCTTCACGGCCGCCAGCGCCTCCGTCTGCGGCGGCGGCGGCCGGCTCTCAGCCGTCATGGCGCAGCCGTCCCGCGTCCCGGGTTGTCCCCGCCGCCCGCTGCTGTCGAGGGGCGGGGGCGGGCTTGGGAGGCTGTGGGGCTAGGCTGCAGGGCAAAGGGAGCGGGCGCTGGGCCCCACTGCGGAGAGCTCTGGGAGTCTTCGCGGGCTGGCACTCGGAGCACAGCTTCCCCAGCAGGGGTGCTCCGGAGGCTTGCTGCCCTCGGTTTCCGGGCTGGCTCAGTGCAGACAGAGGCTCAGGAGTGTCCCGCCCACCGACGGCTCTGCTTGTGTTCTGGAGCTCGAGGCCAGCGCCGGCAGCGCTGTTGGGACCGGGACTAGGCCCCGGTCGCGGGCTGAAGGGCCCTTTGCGCGCTGGTGCCAGACGGTCGAGGGGTCCGGAAGCAGTCCTGGGACTGGGGCGCCCGCAGCTGGTCTGTGCTTCCCGCTGATCTGAGGCTAACCGTCGAGGTCGTGCGCCCAGAGGCGGCTCCGGGCCCGAAGGCCTGAAGCGAGGGCAGTTAGTACAGGCGTGGGGCACTCCGGTGGGGGCTGCCTAGGCTGCGCCTCTGCGGCCCAGACTGCGGAGGGCAAGGAGGCGAGGTGCAGGAGTGGTGCGGGCCAGGCGGGTGGGCCGGCGACTGTTCCTCTCTTCAGCGTTGGCCTGCGGCCGCCGAAACTACAGCCGAAGCGCTCCCTAGCACACACCCGGACCGGCTCCTCCCTCCGCCGGCTTCTCCTCCTTAAAGGCGCCAGGAAGCTTGGGGCGGCGCCCCGTGCCCGCCCGCCCCCCCGACTGCCCGCCCCCTGGGCCCGGGCGCACCTCCGCAGGTGGGAGCAGCTGTGGAGGCGCGGCAGGAGCCCCACAACGTCAGAGCGGGGAGGGCTCTCGGAGATCGCCGGGGCTGGCCTCCCCTGCGCGCCGACGGGGAGACTGAGGCCTGGAGAGGCCAGGGACTGTCTCGGGAGACCTTGGCGCGGGAACTCAGCGCTTCTGGACTTTACCAGCCTCTGCAGAGGGCTGGGACCTGCAGGTGAAAAGGACGGGCTCGATTCACCTTTTTTTTTTTTTTTTTGTCGGGAGAGGGTGAGAAATGGCCGAGGGGGCGCTTGATTCCTGTGGGGGCAGGGGATGGGGAAGGGAGAAGACCTTCCAGTTGGCTGGCTCTTAAGGTATTTCAAGGATGATTTTCAAACCCCAGTCAAAGCTGCCTTGCCCATTGCCCATCCAGTCCCTCATCTTTCAGACGAGGATTCCTAGGCCCGATAGGGGAGGTGACTTGCCCTAGCCTCACCTCTGCAGCTTAACGGAGCCTCACACCTGCGTCTGTGTCAGGACTGCGCTTCGCCCGCTCGGTGCCGGAGGCAGCCACTTTCTCTCTTTGGGTCCCAGGTTTCTCGACTGCACGGAGGGTTTGCACCTCGAGAGACCTTACGTTGCCAATATTTAGGGAAAGCTCCCTCCCTATCACCTGTCTTTGGGTGAGCCGGGACCCCTCTATATGGCGGAAAGTGGCGCACCGCTTAAAGAGGATGAAGGCTAGGCTTCTGTCCTCTCGTGGTAACCTCCTCCTCCAGTTCGCTCCAAGTGGCTCCCAGAACCCCCAGGGGCAGAGCCCCTTCCCGCAGAGGGCGCAAGGGCCGCGAGAGGCTGGGACCGAAGTATGGGCGCTCCAGGAGGGCGCGTCTCCCGGGGGAAGGGGCGGGCAGAGGGGATCCGTTTGCTTCGCGGGTGTCCGGTTTCTAAATTCGTTTCGGCCATGCTCCAAGGCGGGACCCTCGGCCTCACCCGAGACGCCCTGCAGCGGCCGCCCTGCTAGTCTGGGTTCGCTTTGTGGTCTTGCGCAGGGAGACCTTGGGCCGGTCCTTTCTCTAAAGCAAGGCCTCAATTTTCTGCTCTGTGACTTGGGGGCGGGAGGGCAGATGCGTACCTCGGAGCCCTTTCTGCCTTTAGGAATCCGGGCCTTGGCGCCGACTCCAGAGGTTCCAGCCGGGGTGCAGCTTTGCGCTGGGCTGTGGGTGTAGGGCGAGGCGGAGCGAGTCTCAAGAGCGCGGGCAGCAGGGCCTTCAGGGATTTTAGCTGCGTCCTTCGTGGCGGCGAGCTCGCTGTAGGTTCCGCCCCGCCGAGCAATGGGGCAACTGCCTTCGGTAGAAAGGGGCAGAGAACACATCCTCGCTCCGCCGACCCGGGTTTGGAAGCAGTTGCACGGTTTGCATGAAGACCTTCCTCAGCGGATGGGTGCTTGAACGACTGGAGAGGGGGCTTTCTTCACTCGTTCAGCAAACTCTCAGTTTCCTTCTTCCAAAGTAAAGAAAATGCGAAAATCTAGATTTCACCATGTTATGTTTTTGCAAAAGGAAAAAAATGTTTAAATTTCTTTTAATTCAGCCAGATTACATCATGGCAATCTTTCAGTGCTGGATTTTGTGGTTCTCTGTATTTCCAAAATTCTAAGATGCAGATTTCCAAATTTTTAATTTTGGATCACTATCCTAACGAGTTTTCATAAATCAAATAATGCGATTCTGTAATTCTAAGAGTCCATGACCAGAAGTCTAAATTCTTCTACTGTAATTATATTCCTATGACTTTAAGCTTCTGGTCAAAATGTAGACGTGAATTCCTTATTTTGAGATGCTGGGGACTAAGATTTTATGCCTGAAAATATAATGCCACTACTGGGAACTGCAGCTTCCTTAGTTTTTAGATATTTTCACAGCTCTGAGGTATATATTACTTAATTTTAATTCCTTTCCAGGAATGTCTGATTAGAAGATTTGGGTCGCATAAATGTACTCCTCTCTTCCTTAATTCCAAAATGTTGGTACTGGAGCCACTCTTCTGTAACGCGAAGACTCTAATTCTGATAATTCTTACAATAGTCGTGAATGTATGATGATTTGTCCCATGACTTTATGTTCTTTACTTTTAAGCTCCAATGATTATGGTTAGAAGCCTCATGTCTTAGGATTTCTTGATCCTCAATGTTTTGTGTCTGTGAACCCATTCTTCTAGAATTCTGATTCCTTTTTCTCAGACTTTGCTGCTACAGAGCTACACCTGTGCATCAGACCAAGCGTTAGCATCCTGAGATTATTAATTCCTAAGGTCAAGATTTTCATGAACAAAGTGTCCTAAAGATTCTATTCCATAGATGTTTTATTCTAAGAATACATTTCAGAATTCTGTACTTTGAAGATTCTATAAATCCATGATGCAAAATTTGAAGTAAATGATTTGATGAATGAACTGGGACAATTTACCGTTTGGATCAAAACTATGCAAATAGATTCCTCTCCATGCCAGGGCATTTCTTTGCTTTTCTCTGGTCAAGTCCTCCCTCTTCTCTGATGCAGTGTTCCTTAACATTTGTGGGGGTAGCAGATGCCACTGAGAACCATTTCAAAGCCATAGAGTGGGTTCCAGCCCCTGGGAGGTTATTCTCCTAGTTTAGCAGGCGTGGGTTGGTGTTGATGTGGGCAGGTGCTGGGTGATTTCCATCTCCTTTGCACCTGCTTCCAGCCCTGAGCATATCCCCAGCACATACCTTTGGAAAAACCTATTTTATGTTCAATTTTTAGGCAGAGGGGAGGAATGCTGGTGATCTGTAGAAAATATTGCAGCTCTTCTCCCAACAACTACTTTCCTGAGTTTTGAAGTGCCCTCAGCTTTGAAGTGCCCTTAGAGGGTTCGTAAATATAAAGGAGGGGATCCATGGAGTTATGGGAAATTCCTCCATATCCCTTGACCTAGATGCCCTTCATGCAGATGCAAGGGTAACTAACTCTTCTCCCTAACGAAATCTTGGAAATACAAGTTGGAAGGAAACTAGGCCCAGATTGCCAAAGGGACTTGCTTAAAGTCTTGCAGAGGAGTTTCTGTGCTGAAAGGGAAATTCGGGTCTTGGGCTCCTTACCTTCTGGGCCCACAGCCTCTCTACCTTTCCCTGAGCTCTCAGAGCCTCAGTTGTGCTTACTGGCCTGGCCGGGGTCACTCTCTTTACCAAGTGACAGTGGAAACTCCAGACCCTGATGCTTGCAAATCAGATCCAAGAATATTGGGACAACGGGAACACAGTGAGCTCTGTTTGGTTTACTCTGGGACAATCAGTCATGATCAGCAGGCTGTATGGCTTCAGAGAGCATCAGACGAGACACTGCCACAGAGGGGATCCCGTGTCATAGTGAGCCCAGCCCAGGAGAGTTGCAGTGCTGCTGAGTGAGAGCTCTGACTACAGCTAGCTCATTACTGGCCCAGCGACCTTGAGCCATCTGCTTCTCTTTAAGATCTCAGTTTCCCCATCTGTGAAGTGGGGATCCCCTACCTGTCGCCCCTCTTCGAGAGAGAGTCGAAAGAATGGAGTAGGACACATCACTGTCCCGTGATTGTTTTCTCCGCTTTTAAATTGTTTTCGGGGCGAAACTTGAACCGTGGGGCGGGGGAAGCTGCTGGGGGAAAGTCAAGTCGTTCTCACTCATGGGCGGAGATAAGACACCTCGAAGAAGTAGCGGTTGATTTAAAATGTTTTCTGCAACTTAGCCCAGGATTTTAAGATTTTGAGGCCCTTAGGGTGTGGCCTCTTTCCGTGAGTAGCCTGGCTCAGGAACCCCCGGAGCTTGGTCAGGGCCACACGGCTTTGAGCGCTTCTTGCCAGTGGTTCACTTAAACGCCCTGAACGCAGAATTGTGATCACTCTCGGAGACAAATTGCAGGAACTAGGGCCCAGAGGGGTGCCTTCTGCTTCCTGCCACCCTGCTGGCTAGCATTCCACCAGCTTCCTGGCTCCCCGCGAGGAAGCGCCTCTCGTGTTTCTGGCTCCCAATCCCTGCTTGGGAGTCTTCTCCCAACCCTTCCCGCGAGTCCCCGGAGCCGGGAGCTCCGGAGCCGACTCAGACATCCAGGAGCTGTGCGGCGCAGCGAATAGGGCAAGCCGGCTCCGAGAGGGTGCGGACTTTTCCCTCCGCGCACGGCGAGTCTGGGACAAAGCCGAGCCTGAGCTCGGGTCTCGACCTTGCCCCCA